CAGTTGGTATTAGATTTTGACAAAATCAATGTGGGTGGGGTGGTGTTGTTGTTTAGCATGTGTGTAAAATCAGGACCAGCAGGACCTATCTGCCTCCCATAATAAGCATAAGATTGTTGGGGATGTCTCTCCGTTTTTGTGTTATGTCTCCTCCCCACAGCAGCTGTTTTGTGTCTATAGCACCACCCTCCTCATTCTCTCAAATTGAAAATGTGCCCTCTGGTCTACAAAAGTTGGCAACCCAGTTTGACACAGACCAGCAGTGGTGTTCTACTTCCTACAGGATATTTTCCCAGCCCTACATAAAGATGCTGGGAGTTGGATCTGGTACCTTTCGCGTGCAGCACAGATGCTCCTTTCCACAAGGCCCTCCCCAGAAGCCTTAGCATTTATCTGGAATAAGATTCTATACATTGGAACAGCCAAGAGATTTAAAGTAAGATGAGATAAAAGAAAGGACTTTTTCACACAGCACATAGTTGAGCTCTCACCGGAGGCAAGTGATGACCACCACTTGGATGGCTTGGGAAGAGGACTAGACAAATTCATGGAGGACAAGGCTACCAGAGGCTACTATCTTGCTGCATTCTGCCTCCACTGCCAGAGGCATTATGCCTCTGGGTACCAGTTGCTGGGAATCACAAGTGGGGAGAGTGCTGCACTCATGTCCACCTTGCAGGCTTCCCACAGGCATCTGGTTGGCCGCTGTGCAAACAGGATGCTGGACTAGATGGGCCATTGCCATGATCCTGCAGGCCTGTCTTATGTTCTTATGGGCTTTAAAACAAAGAACATAGAAAGTTGTCTTATACCAAGCCGGTGCTTCGGTTCATCTACAGTTCAGCATTGTCTGCGCTGACGGACATCTCCAGGTTTTCAGTCTGGAGTGCTCCCTCCATCTCCAGTTCTACCTGGAGGAACCAGGGGTTGAACCTGTGACCTTTTGCATGCGAAGCCTGTGTTCTACCAGTAGACACATTTTTGCTACAGCACTTTCACAATGTGAAATGTGACTGTCATATCTCTAATGCACCTTGTGATACACCAGCCCACCAGCTACCTGTGATCACCCACCGGGAGGCCAGGCAAACTTCCCATTCTGCCCTCAGTGCTAATGACACTCACAAACATCTTGGGCAAAGTGGATGGATGACAGGAGAGCTTCTGCAAGTGTACTTTTGCAGCTATAAGGGTGCAATTCTTTAAAATCACCTCTTTGTACTGTTCGTTTCTCGAAAGGTTATAATTTGTCTGAGTCATTGATTAGTGACAAATGACATCTTTCGAGAAGTATTCTTAACCTTTGGGGATATTTTTGCTTTGAAGGTCAGCTTGTTTGTTTGTGTGTGTGTGTGTGTGTGTGTTTAAGGCTCACCTTTGCAATGGCAGGCCTGTTATAATTTGGTAACTCTTTCTCAGTTTGCAGTGCTTCCATAACATCAGGGAATGTGAACTGCAAAAACAAAGGAGGATCCACCCCCCTCTTCGGAACTTCCAAAGGAACAAAATATAAATTTAATAGATTATAAGAACTGTGCATGGTCTTTGTCTCTTCGCTAAGCTACAATTCTCAGAGTTCCCTGTGAAGAGGGACTGATTGCTAAAGCACTCTGAGAACTGTAGCTCTGGGAAGGAAATTGGGTTTCCCTAACACAGGCACCCCCAAACTCAGCCCTCCAGATGTTTTGGGACTACAACTCCCCTGGCTAACAGGACCAGTGGTCAGTGATGATGGGAATTGTAGTCCCAAAACATCTGGAGGGCCGAGTTTGGGGGTGCCTGTCCTAACAATTCTCTGCACTCTTAACAAACTGCAGCTTCCATAATTCTTTGGGGTGAGAGGAAACCATGATTGTTTAAAGTGGTGTCATCAATCGTTTAATGTATGATGTGAATTTGACCTAAATTAAACTAACTTAAGACAGTTTATTTCAGTTGGTTTACTGAGCATGGCTTAGTTGCATCAGTCTGTCTCTCTATGATTTGTTGAGTCCAGTTGTTTGCAATAGATACAACATGCATTCTCCATTAATATGAAGTGAAAGGTGCTTTCTTTCTGCCTGCAGAAGAGATGCCAGCAGTGGGAATCAACCTGCTGTAGGGAAAATTGAGCTGGAAGGCTTTGTCCAAAAGAGAGAGAATGTAAGTTCATGAGTAATGGTAGCAGAAGGAAAGCCGCCCACTCCATTGCTTCCATAAGCACCTGCTGACCTTGGCTGTGTGGAGTGGGGGGATTTGACAACAGGTTGGTGGGTGGTACACAAGGGGAGGGCAGCAGTGGGGTGCTTTAGATCATCATGATCAAACATGGAACCTTCAAGAAAGACCTGCAGAGTGTCATTTCTCCTAAAAGGAGTGTTCAGAGTTAATAACATAAGAAGAACCCTGCTGGATCAGAGCAAACACATATCTAACCCAGCATTCTGTTTCTCACAGTGGCTGACCAGATGTTTCTGGAAAGTCCACAAGAAGGACACCGGAGTTCCAGCTCAGGGTGGATGGATCTGACCATTTCAGTTTTTCATAGTTAAAGTGTCTAGTTCAGTTTCCCACACTTCTGCATCAGTTTTGCAATCCCACCCACCCCCAAGTATTTGTGAAAATCCATCAGCATTTTAGTGTCCCTTTCTCCCAGTAGACACATTTCTGCATGCATTGTTTTCTAATACACACATATTTGCAAGCAGATTTCCTTGATATAATGCATTTTTGCAAATGTAAAATATAAGCATTTGTTTTTGCACGTTTTCTCCAAATAGATGCAGTTTTCTACAAATTTGGAGAACAGCATTACCAAAATTGGAGAAGTGTGGATTCCTTAGGAAAGCTGCGTTTGGTTCACTTATTGCTTCCCAAAGTGCAAATTAGGTTGGATCACATTACATTTCAAACTGAATCAAATTTATCTCCCATCCCTCGTTCAAGCCAACCGTTCCCTCCAAGCAAGTCATTCCATTACCTCTCCTTCCTTGTCACCATCTTGTTTCCAACTCTCTGTCTATATTCCAAGGCCATTCAGCATGCCCAGTCCTCATTGGGCTGCCTTTGAGTCATTTAAAAAAAGAAAGAAAGAAAAGAAATTAGTACATCTGCAAGCTTGGTTCCTGCAAGCTAGCTGATGTTTCCCTCTTGTTTCATAGTGATTGTGTCCCGGCTCCAATCCTGGGAGGAATTACAACACCTCTCCCTCTCTCTTACATTTACACACAAACACAGTGTATCATGTTCAGATGACTCCCAATCATAATCATAATAATTTATTATTTATATGCCACCCATCTGATTGGGTTGCCTCAGCCACTCTGAGTGGCTTCCAACAATTTATAAAATACAGTAAAATATCAAACATTAAAAACTTCCTTATACAGGGCTGCCTTCAAGATGTCTTCTAAAAGTTGTGGGAGGGGCAGTTTATACTTAGAAGGAGTAAAATTAACCCCTGTTGGTTCTTCTCAGCCATAAATCAGCTTTAAAGGAATCGACACAAAAGTGCTTACATATTCAGAAATTGTCAACAAGCACCTTTAAGATCCCAATATAAGTATCAGAATTCCCTCATGTATATATAGTATCCTTTTAATAAACCAACATTTTACTTTAAAGTTCATCCTATATTTAGTGTTGATGTCCAGTTCACGCCTAAGCCTACTATGTATTATACTAGGAGGTTTTGTGAGCATTCTGAGTGAATTGGTGGCAGTAGAAAATTAAAGAAGCACAGAGAGCTAAACTGGGTCATTTATGTAAGTAAGGTTGAGGGAAACCAGTATCGCTGAAACTGCTTGACACACTAGCCTTTTGATCCATTTGTCTGTAACTTGGCAGGCTTTATCAAGTCTGAAGTACTAGTATGCCTACAAATTTCACCCACTTCTGCCAAAAGAGGGGGAAAGTTAAAAAAGAAACCCTATAGGGATATTTTTGGGAATGGGGGTAGGGGATAAAGCAGAGTCAGCAGACCCCAAGCTGAATTTGGCAGGCTAAAAAACACCTTAGACTGAGGCGGGATGTTTTCCTAAAATGCCAAATCAGGATCTGAATGAAACCATGTCAGTATAGATCCCTACTTGCCACTTGAACTTGCTATTAGAAGGAGTGATTCTGCTTTAGGAGTGTCCATATTGCAGTCTAAGTCACAGGATTTACACACCAATGATCTGATTCAAGTTTCCATAAGGCAGTCTCAGACAATCACTAGTGAGTTTGCAGCTGGAGCAAAAGTTGAACCTGGGACGTTGCAGCTCATGTTCTTAGCCACTAAACAACATCAGATCTCTCTTGCTAGACCAGTGCAGACACACTGGTTCAGGACAAAACACATGCAGAAAATTAGCTTTTTATACCAGCCCCTCAATTTGTTAACATTCCCTTGATTTGACAGCTGGAATAGATGAATGTCATTCTTGACCTTTTCGGGGTTTTACAGCTTCTTCACTCTGCAGATTCAGATTTTGCTGCAGCTGCGGCCCGGGAATGAACTTTAGCAATACTTTCTTTCTGCCGCTTACAAAGAAGAATAAAAAGTATTACCAACAATTAAATACTTTGAACAACAAGAAGATATCATTTCATGAGGGCTTAAAACTATTGACTAAATGTTAGCAATTAAAAATGGAGGGCATTTCCTGGCAGTTTTCATAGAGCCGGACTGAATAATCAGACATTAGGACTCCAGATTTTCTTTGTGATTTATGGTGATGGGAGAATGCACATTATGGCCAGAACTACACTTATCTTGGCTAGAAGTTGCTTTCTGGAAGACCTTTATATAATGCTAGAGGGTCAAAGCCCACTTGGTTTGTTGTCTGCGGAGTTTCGGTGCATTTAATGCAGCCTCACCTACCTGGTTGCCCTCCAGATGTTCTTGGACTGCAACTTCCATCATTCCTGACCACTGGCCAAGCTGGCTGGGGCTGATGGACATTGTAATCCATGATATCTGGAGTCAAGCAGGTTGGGGAAAGTTGATTTAATGCAAGGTTTCCAAATTTTGAGTCTCCAGCTGTTTTTGGACTACGGTTCCCACCATTCCTGACCACTGGCCAAGCTGGTTGGGGATGATGGGAGTTGTAGTCCAAAAACAGCTGGAGACTCAGGTTTGGGATACCCTGATTTGATGCAAAGGAGGCTTAATTACTCAAAACAGTATTGCCTGGACAGGCCAAGACCATCATTAAAGGATAGTTGACCATTTGTGGTAGATCCTAATGCCTGTGGATTTAGAGTGACCACTTGTGCGATGATCCAAAAAGAGAAAACACGAGAGACAGAGAAAAAAATGAAAAGACAAAAGAGCACACAGATTCATTTTGTATTTCTATTTGCATATTTATTAAAAAGCAAATTTAGCAATAATTATTATGCTTCGAACAAATACATATCACCTTAGTGGGGAAGTCTGCAACCAGGTTTACCTGTGTACCTGCCCATTCTGCTGTCCAGGTGCTAATTTCAAGGCCCCAGCAGGTGGCTCTTACTAAGCTTCCCATCTGCCACTCCGTTCCTTGAGGAGCAAAGAATTCCCCATGTGAGACAGTGTCTTCTTTAACAATAGGGGCTGCAGGGGAAGGGGAGTTCTGCACACATGGCCACCTAGCAGTGAAGTCATTGCTGCTTAGTGAAAGGGAGGTGGGGATGTTGGTGCTATACAGGCAGGCAGGGAGAGCCAATCTGGTTCATCTGCTGGCCTGCCTACTCAGTACTGATAATCCCACACTGCCCTTCTCCTCTCCCACTCAGTAAATGGTAGGGACTTGGTCAGGTGTATAGCAGCGTACCTCCCTGCCAACTGCAGTTGTTCTTTCCTTAAGAATGTTATTAGACATACAAAAGCAGATTGATTTCAATAGGATTAAGTGTCCTAATTTTGGATAGAAGCAACAACATCTTAAGAACATTTGCAGCATCAGTCCATAGGTCCATCTACTCAAGCATTCTGTGTTCACAATATCCAGCCAGATGCTTAAAGTTAGCAGTACATGAGTTGCAAGAGCACTTTCTCATTTTTTTTGATTCCCAGAAGCTGGTATTCAGAGAGATATACTGTCTCCAACACCGGAGGTAGAGTTATCATGATTAGTAGCGACTGATAGCCTTCTCCTGCAGGAATATGTCTAATCCTCCTTTAATAATCCTTCCAAGTTTTCGCCAACAACCTGAAAACAAATGAGGTGCCATACAAATTTGTAGCCAGGGTGGACCACTGACTGAGTGGACCACTGATTAATCTGAAACATGTCTCATTTGTACAAGTAAAGCTCCTCAAAGCAACCTGTCATGACCCCCTTTCCTAAAAGATGAATATTAAAAATGCAATTAAAGTCCCCCCTCCAGTCTTCAGCTGGTGTAAATTAGCATCACTTTAATATCTTAAGAGTGTAACAATGCTAATTTCCTGCACCTGTTCCTTTCTGAAACACAACAAATGAGGCATTAGGAGACTGTTCTGTGTAATAAAATAAAATTGCAGTATATTCAGGAGGGGGGGAAGCGCCTTTGAATATATTGACATATTTAAGGACAACATATTCGAGAAAGGATGTTATTGTCTTGTAATTTGCAAGCTAACGTTGATCTTTTCCAGCAAGAAGGGAGGAATTTTTTTTTTAAAAAAGAATGATGTAGTTCAACCTTCAAATGTTTTGACAGGTGTCTGCATTCCCTTTTGCTTCCAGTTTGGAGTCTATCTTCCATTAAAAGAATTAACACCTCTTGTTGCATGGCAGAGCTCTCTTTGATGCTAGGCAGCAAAACATGAGTACAAGCAGCTGCCCTTACTTGCCTTGTGTCAAAAGGGTAGCCCAACCCTCCTTCTGTCTGCTGCATGGAATGCCACTTGCCTGTGTGTTGGGCCATATGAAAATGCTCATGAAATGCATTGCCATTCTAGTGTCAACTTCGCATAATAGGCTCCTGCGGCCATTCTCCCATCTTTGGTGGGAAAGCCCTCGGGTTCCATTATTCTGGTCTCAAGCATATGAAGAAATATCTAAAATAATTAAATGACCTGTTCAGGCCTCCCCAAACTACATTAGTGAATATGTGGACTGATAACATGAAAACATATCTCTCTAAACAATTTTGGACACGGAGTTAGCTGCAGCTGGGATTTCAATAGCTCAGCAATGGAAAACCTTGAAAAGTCTACATTTGTCTTTGTAGTATATGAATTTATGGACTTTGGCTATTGTGGAACAAATGACACATGATCTGTGGGTCTCCAGAGGGATGGAGGACCCAGACTGCTTTTATGTCATCTGGTGGCATTTTATATCTTATGCTTCAGACTTAGATATCCAACATTCACCATTCATGCCAGCTTGGCAAATATGGATGTCTTTATTGGTATGATACAATTTCTTCCTTTTATTATTTATTGTTTGTTTCCTTTGTATATAGTATGATGTAATACCCTGTGACTTCTCATGGTATACATATTTTAATACAATTTGTCTAATATGCATGTTTTTGCAAATCTATTATTATTATTATTATTATTATTATTATTATTATTACCTGTCCTACATCAGCTGGTCCCAGGGTAGGCTACAACAATTTAAGATTCAGAATTTAAAACAGTTCAAACAGATTGCAGTCACAGGAACAGGGTGGGCCCTAAAAAACACACATCTCAAAGGCCAGAGGAAAGTGGTGAGTCTTCAACATTCACCAAAAGCTGTACAATGAAGGTGCCAAATGCATCTCTGTGGGGAGGGAATTCTATGATGTAGGGTCTGCCACAAAGAAATGCCCTCTCCTGTGCCTCCACCATCCCCGAACTTCTGAGGGTGGTGGAACTACAAAGAGGTCCCTCTCTGCTGATCTTAACATCTGGGAGGGTCTATAATTCATTTTTGCATGTTATTTTCACTAATATATACATTCATGTGCACACTTCCCCTCATGATATGTATTTCTGTATGCATTACTAGGGACGCGGGTGGCGCTGTGGGTTAAACCACAGAACCTAGGACTTGCTGATCAGAAGATTGGTGGTTTGAATCCCCACGATGGGGTGAGCTCCCCTTGCTTGGTCCCTGCTCCTGCCAACCTAGCAGTTCGAAAGCACATCAAAGTGCAAGTAGATAAATAGGTACCACTCTGGCGGGAAGGTAAACGGCGTTTCCATGCGCCGCTCTGGTTCGCCAGAAGCAGCTTAGTCATGCTGGCCACATGACCCGGAAACTGTACGCCGGCTCCCTTAGCCAATAAAGTGAGATGAGCGCCGCAACCCCAGAGTCGGTCACGACTGGACCTAATGGTCAGGGGTCCCTTTACCTTTACCTTTATGCATTACTAAGCTGGAGGTCTACACTGCAAATTCAAAGGAGCATGGATTTCAAAAGAAGGCTGTGTTCTGTTTTGCATCTTGTTTCAGAAAGTGTGGATTAGGCAAGCTCACTGCTAAATGTGAGATGGATTGGATTTCTCCACCATCCCTAACGATGTTAATCATGTGGGAGTAAAATAGCCTATTCCTTAGATACTGGTGTTTAACTCCATCTGTCCATATAAATATCTCTATAAGCAATGGAGGACCACACTGCCTAATGAAGGCTCTGATGCCTTAACTGAAATGTTCGGCAGCTAAACAAGATCTCGTGTCACAGAAACAACAGTTTATTTAGGGATTTGCTACCCTGGTTGGGCGTAATGATTCAGAAAGCCTTCCATTTAAAAAACGAATCTCTCTAGCATCTCAGCTGGCTAAAGAGCAAACTTCCAGCAAGGTTTTTCATGGAAACAGAAACGTTATCTACTCCCACTGTAGGGCATATTGGGATCGAGCTTTTATTGTTCTGACAGGGAAAATAGCTCCTGCAATATGACAGCTCAATGAGCCTGGTGAAATTTAGTAAGTCAGTTTAGATGCAGCTCTGTCTTTCTCTGCCCCCCCACCAATAGAGTGGCAGTGGGAGAGGACTCTGCTGAACAGTAGAGGGAAAGCATTTGGTTCAAAAAGAAAGGATGCTAACAAATTGCTGTTGAATGGTTGCAGATGCTATAAAATAGGATGCAAAGCAACCCATCTTCAAACATGCTTTTTAAAAAAAAGCCATTTCTACAGAATGAACATAAGAAAAGCCTGTTGGATCAGGCCAGTGGTCCATCTCATCCTGTTCTCATAGTGGTTTACCAAAAGGCAGGGATGTGAGTGGCGCTGTGGTCCAAACCACTGAGTCTAGGGCTTGCCGACTGAAAGGTCGGTGGTTCAAATCCCCACAACGGGGTGATCTCCCATTGCTCTGTCCCAGCTCCTGCCAACCTAGCAGTTTGAAAGCACTCTAGTGCAAGTAGATAAATAGGTACTGCTGGGGTGGGAAGGTAAATGGCATTTCCGTGCACTCTGGTTTCTGTCACGGTGTTCTGTTGCACCAGAAACGGTTTAGTCAAGCTGGCCACATGACCTGGAAAGCTGTCTGTGGACAAATGCTGGCTCCCATGGCCTGAAAGTGAGATGAGCGCTGCAACCCTATAGTCGCCTTTGACTGGACTTACCCATCCAGGGGTCCTTTACCTTTTTTAAAAAACAACACCAAGATGCCCATGAGAAGCCCCAAAACAGGACCTAGGCACAACAAAAACACTCGCCACACATGTGATTCCCAGCAACTGGCGTCCAGAGGCTTGTAACCTCTGGCAGTGAAGGTAGAACATAGCCATTGTGGCTAGTAGCCACTGAGCATTCAGTCATGGGTGCCCACAGGATTCCCTGGGCCCAGTTCACTCCATTGGGATTGGGATCTCTGCTCCACTCACAAAAGTTCTAACCCATTTTTTAAAGCGATCCAGTTTGGTGGCCATCACTGCCTCCTGTGGGAGCAAGTTTATGCCACAGTTTATGTGCTGTGTGAGGAAGGACTTCCTTTTGTCTGTTCTGGATCTTCCAACATTCAGCTTCTTCTGAGATTATTCTTGCTGTCTACAGCATTCATAAGCACTCTTTCTTTCTTTCTTTCTTTCTTTCTTTCTTTCTTTCTTTCTCTCTCTTTAAAGAGACCAGGTAACATTTTTAGTTACTTAAATGTTTTAAATTGGGCCAAGGCAGCAATCCTCTACCCATTTTCTCGGGAGTAAGTCCCATTA